TTAGTGACCTCCATATTTCTTGCAAAATCTTTCTCTATTGTACTCATCACTACTGACATACTCATATTTTAATTATACTAGTTTATTGAATATCTCTCCCTACTGAAAGATAAGCCCCATAGGGCAAGGATTTTATCTGTGTGGGTTGTTTTTTTTTTTTTTTTGCATTTTACCTCCAGCACTTAGAACATTGCCTATAGTAATAAATCAATAATACCTGTCCAATAAATATGTAAATATATTTACTTGAGCTTATGCTGTACTTAAGGAAAGACAGTAAGTAAAACAAGCATAGACACATATATAGAGAGTGTCAGATGGTAAAATATGCTATCAAGAAAGAGCAGGTAAGAAGAATGGGAAATAGGGGCACCTGGGTGGCTCAGTTGGGTTAAGCCTCTGTCTTCGGCTCAGGTCATGATCTCAGGGTCCTGGGATCGAGCCTGGCTTCGTGCTCTCTGCTCAGCAGGAAGCCACCCCCCCCACCACCGCCTTTCTCTCTGCCTACTTGTGTTCTCTCTCTCTGTGTCAAATCAATAAATAAAATCTTAAAAAAAAAGAATAGGAAATAATAGGCTATACTTGAGGGTAAAAGCATTGTTATTTTATAAGATGATCTGAAAATGCTTCTCTAGTGAGGCAACAGTTGAACAGGGGCCTGAAGGAAGTAAGAAAATAAGCCATATGGGAGAAAAACAACCAAGGAAGAGAATACAACAAGTGCTAATGTCCTGAGGTGCAAATTTTCTTGGATTTCTGGGAAATATCAAGGAGACTAGGGTAGGAAGAGCAGAGTAGATGAGACAGAGAGTGCCAGGAAATGTGATCTAGAAGAATTGGGAGGCTCATTTATACCAGATCTTGTAAGATTTTAGCTTTGACTCTGAAGTGGGAAAGAAGTCCATAGAGTGTTTTGAAACGAATGACATGATCACAACACTGTAGCCAGAGGACTGAGAACAGACTGTATGGAACGTGGTAAAAGGAGGCAAACCAGTTAAGAGGTTAGAGTAGAAATATAGGTTAGCTGAATGCAGCAACATGTAAAAATGATTATACACCATCACCAGTGGGATTATTGCAGGAATGCGAGATTGGTTTAACACCTGAAGATTCATTAATGTAATATATATATCGTATTGAATGAATGCAAGACAGAAGTGTAAGATCATCTCAATGGATGTAGGAAACAAAACAAAACAAAACAAAACAACAACAACAAAAACAATACCACACCCTTTCATGATAAAAATGCTTAATAAACAGTAAGGGGAGGTTACTTCTTCAACCTGGTAAAAGATATCTACAAAACACCCACAGCTAACATCTTAAACTATAAGAGAAGACCGGATGCTTTTCCACTAAGAACAGGAACAATACAGGATGTGCATTCTCACCATCTCTCTTCAACACTGTACTGGAGGTTCTAGCCAGATGAAGTAGGTAAGTAAATGAAATAAAAGCCTCCAAACTGTAAAGGGAGAAGTGAAACAATTCCTCTCTGCAGATGGCATGAACTTATATATAGAAAAATCTGATGCAGCTCCAAAAAAACTATTAGAACTAAAACTGAGTTATCAAGGTTACTGAATACACTATTAACATACAAAAATCAATTTTTGCAATGGACACTCTATTGACTGTTTTATCTACTTGCAATGAAACATCCATAAGCAAAATGAAGAAAACAATTTCATTTATATTAGCATCATAAAGAACAAAATACTCAGAAATAAATTTAATAAGTGTAAGATTTATACAGTGAAAACTGGAAAACACTGTTGAAAGAAATTAAAGGAGACTTAAATAAATAGAAGGGCCTTCCATGTTCATGTTTTAGATTTGATATTGTTAAGATGACAATAGTCCTGAAATTGATCTACAGGTTCAACACAATTCCTATCAAAATTTCAGCTACCTTTTTGGCAGCAACTAAGAAGATAATCATAAATTCATATGGAAACCTAGGGGCCTGATATAGCCAAAACAGTCTTGGAAAAGAAGAACAAGTTTGGAAAACTCAAACTTCCTGAATTTAAAACTTACTACAAAGCTACATTGATCAAGGTAGTGTGGTTCTGGTATAAGGATAGGCATATAGATCAATAAAATAGGATTGAGAATCCAGAAATAAGCCTGGTATCTATTGTCAACTGACTTCAATTAATATGCCAATACCATTAAATGGATAAAGTAGAGTCTTTTAAACAATAGTACTGGGACAAATTGAATATCCACACACAAAACCATGAAATTGGATGCCTACCTCATACCATCTATAAAAATTTATCCAAAATTGATCAAAGACCTAAATGTTAGAACTGAAAATATTAAAATCTTAGAAGCATACATAGGGGTAAAGCTTCACAGCCTCAGGTGAGGTACTGTTTCTTAAATATGACACTAAAACACAAGCAATACAAGAAAAAAAATAAAGAAATTAGATTTCATCAAAATTAGCTTTTATGTTTCAAAGGACACCATCAAAAAAGTGAAGTTCAACCCACAGAATAGGATCAAGTGTTTGCAAATCATGTATCTGATAAGGACTTACATCCAGAGTATATAAATAACTCTTGAAACAGTAGTAAAAATAATCCAGTTGAAAGTGGGTGAAGGGGGACGCTTGGGTGGCTTAGTCAGTTAAGCCGCTGCCTTTGGCTCAGGTCATGATCTCAGGGTCCTGAGATCGAGTCCCGCATCAGGCTACTCGCTCAGCGGGGAGCCTGCTTCTCTCTCCCCCTCTGCCTGCCGCTCTGCCTACTTGTGCACACTCTCTCTCTGACAAATAAATAAATAAATAAATAAAACCTTACCAAAAAAATGGAAGAAGGATCTGAATAGATATTTCTTCAAATACACAAATGACATGAAGAGAGCTTATCATTCATCAAATGCAAATCAAAAATGAGATGCTACTTGTACCCACTAGTGTGCCTATTAAAAAAAATCGGAAATAAGTATATGAATTCTGCAAGAATATGCAGAAATTGGAAACTTTTTACAGGTTAGTGGGAATGAAAATGGTGCAGCTGTTTTGGAAGATAGCCTGACATACCCTAGAAAGATTAAACACAGAATTACCATACAGCCCAGCACTTCCACTCATAGGTATATGCTCAAGAGAAGTGAAAACATATGCTCACACAAAAACTGTTACATGAATGTTTATAGTAGCATTATTTATAATACCCCAAAGGTAGAAACAGCAGAAATGGATAAGCATATGCAGCATATTCATTGTTAAAAATAAGACAACGGGGTGCCTAGGTGGCTCAGTGGGTTGAGCCTCTGCCTTAGGCTCAGGTCATGATCTCAGGGTCCTGGGATAGAGCCCCGCATCGGGCTCTCTGCTCAGCGGGGATCCTGCTTCCTCCCCACCCTCTGCTTGCCTTTCTGCTTACTTTTGATTGATATCTCTCTCTCTCTGTTAAATAAATAAATAAAATCTTTAAAAAAAGATAAGACAACAGGCCCAAAGAAAACAGTCACTTGTGTAAACCCCATATAACCAAACCAAGACTTAATTAGTTTCAACTGTCTGGGAAATGGAATCTTAATCCAGTCAATTACGAATCACCTGATCAGCACTAGTTAATTAATTTGCGGGATAGAACTGGGACAGCCCCTAAAGGAAAGTAACTTTGCAATAACCAGCGGGCTTTTGCTTAGTATAACTTCCTTGTTCCTCCTGCTCTCCTCTGCTTATAAAAGTCTTTTGTTTTTATTTTCAAATCTTCCCTTCAGGCTATGAGAGTCCTTTCTATCTGCTAGATTAGATGTTGCCTAATTTGAATTGATTTTTTTGCTCAAATAATCTCTTAAAATTTTTAATATGCCTCCATTTATCTTTTAACACCATGTAATGGATGGTTATTTTTGGTCACAGAAAAGAGTGAAGTACTAACAGATGCCACAACATGGAAGAACCTTGAAATTGTTACACCAAGTGAAGGAAGCCAGCCGTAAAAACCACATGGTGCATAAATCAATTTATATGAAATGTCTAGAATAGACCACAGTGTAGAGACAAAAAGGAGAGAAGTGGTCCTGTAGGTCTGGGGAGTGTGGTGATTCGGGGAGTGATAGCTAAGGGACAGGAGGTTTCTTTTGGAGGTGATGAAATGTTCTAAAAATAATTATGGTGATTGCTGCACAGCTTTGTAAATATACCAACAACCGTTGAATGGTACACCAAAAGGGGTGAACTGTGTAGCATGTGAACTAAATCTTAATAAACTTGTTACAAGAAAAGCAAAAACAAAAACAAAACCAGGGGCGCCTGGGTGGCTCAGTGGGTTAAGCCTCTGCCTTGGGCTCAGGTCATGATCTCAGGGTCCTGAGATGGAGCCCTGCATTGGGCTCTCTGCTCGTCGGAGAGCTTGCTTCCCCCTCTCTCTCTGCCTGCCTCTCTGCCTACCTGTGCTCTCTGTCTGTCAAATAAGTAAATAAATAAACAAATAAATCTTTTTTAAAAAAAGAAAAAGAAAAACAAACAAAAAACAAAACAAACAAAAACTTTGCACCAGATAATCTAGGTTTAACTCCCATCTCTGCTCCCGACTGGCTGTGCAACTTCAGAAATGTTCACCTAACTTCCGTATGTCCTAGTCTCCCCATAAATAAATGGAGATAATCGTTCCTATCTCACAGGGTTGTTGTAAAGATTGAGAGTTAATACGAGCAGAGCACCCACAACACCGTCTGTTAAAGAAAAAGTGCTGTCATTTATTATACTCTTAAGTGTAGATTCCCAAGTCAGTGCTCCTTCCTCAGGACCTTGCACTTTGGTTCCATTTTCAGGACTATTTTGAAGGGCAGGGGGTGGGCTTATTCTCTTGCGGGGTCTTTCGGAGAACTGTAGGAAAGCGGAAAGCAAAGCAGATTCCGTCGGGCAGTTTTCGCCTAGTTTGACCCTCTAGGCTTCCCATTCCTTTCGCCTCAGCGCGCACGCGCGAGAGCCTGTGCCCTTTCGTTTTCCTACTTCTATTGCTTTGGCAATGGCGGCTCGCGGCGTGGGGATGTTGGCACGTTTACCCCTCTGTGCTCAGAGAGGTCAAGTCCTACGTCCTACCCACAGGCTTCTCAGTTGCCCAGGCACTGTGGCCGCAGACGTTAAGAGAGAAGAGCAGTCCTCGAGGAACGTGGAGACTGGTGAGGGCGCCGTGTCCCCGGTTTGCTGTTTCGGCGACCCACAGCGGGCCGGGGAAGGGGGGAAGAGACTGGGATCTTGGGCGAGCGCGTGGCTTGTGTATACGTCCGTGGAGCCTTTGGCAATAGGGTGAGGCCGTGTCCCGTCCTCCTCTAAACTCGTTAGGGGTTCGCAGGGCCGCTCCTTGCTCATGGTGGGAGTGGGTTGGGTGATGTTTGGTTGAGGGCGCCTGTCTGCAGTAATTAAAGTATTTAAATGGGCTTGCTAATATTTTATAATTTGGCAAAACAACGTTCCCAATGAAAACAGCGATGCCACACATCAGTCAGTTGCTTCATTTACAAATGTATCTGATTTTACAAGTTGTTGATGGAGGATGAGGATAGTAAAGCAATAATGAAATAACATTATTCGCGGCTCCCAAATACAGTGTTCTGCTTCTGGAAATTACTGTCCTTTGGTATATTCTTTTGGCCATTTTGGTAACATGGTAACAGATGTGCATTCACCGGAACAGGCTGCTGTCCCGCAGACGTTCTAAATTTATATGCTGCTTTGTGTATGGAGGAGCTCACTATTATTGAACCCCTCTTGTGATCCTGGAGCTACGGTATCTGATTTACAATTTTTAAAACAATCTAGCAAAGAATGTATCAACTTTCGCCAGTTAACAGGCGTACAGAGAGGCTCAAAGAGCAAAGTAACTTGTGCTGGGATACATAGGTGAGTTCATTTAGACCTCGAGTAGAGTTAGGAAGCAAACTGTCGATTTCTGCTGTAGTTTTAAGAGATGAAATTATTTCTGGGAATATTTTTATAGTAGGCTAAACAAGCAAAATGTTCCCTAAAATAAATGGTAGGTTTGCTCTTCTCATCAGACTATATAAAATGAAGATTCATATGGACAGGGAGCAGGAATTTTTACTTAATATGATATTTCATTGACATACTGATGGATTGTATTTGGTAGAAGGTGGTTCTGTTAAAAATTCTCAGGTTACTGAAAATTTGAGTAAGGATTCTGCCAAGAAGCTATTGTAATTTAACATCTGTATAGTGGTATAGATTTGGGAGTTTTTTTTTCTTATGCTCTTTGAGAACTAAAACCCTGTCAGGTTGGTGTGGAAGGAGTTATTACAGCAGTTTATAGGTGAAGAAACAGGCTAGTCCAAATGGCTAGTTCATACTTACCCATCTGTTAAGTAGGTAAGGAAAGAACCTGATTCCCAGGTTATACTCTTCATTTTGTACAGCTTTGTTGTTTTTCTTAGAAAATGTGTTTCATTTTGTATCATAACTGGCTAAACGGTCAGACTCTTGTGGTGCCTAACAAAACATTCCTATAGATTTCTTTTCCATTTTTAAAGAGAGAAGAAGGTAACTGCACTTTATACTCAGAAATATAACATTTTATAATTGGAAGGGACTTGAGAAATTTCCAATTGAGGTTTCCATTTAGTGTGAGAACTTGATGGAAAACATTTCTAGTAATATTTTGTAGTAACAAGGAACACACTAGTCCAAAATCAGTCAATTCCATTTTTTGGTCAGGCTCTAATGGTTGGAAAATGTTTGTAATGAGCTAAATAAGCTTAACATTGACATAGCTTTTATTTAAGTAGTGGAGAAGAACCTCAATTTTAAGAATGAGAATATGCAGTGTATTATTCATCCCTCTTTGGGGTCCAGGTGACAGAAGCTAACTTGAATTAGCTTAAGTAGATGGGGGAGGACAAACCAAGCCATGTCACGAAACTTCAGAGAGAGTTAGGTGCATTAAGGTCAGCTGGATGGATATGGCCAATGTAGGGTCTTGTTGTTTTCCTCAGCTGTTGTTTGGTGGCTCCTGATCTCAGAATCTTCTCCACAGAGGCATGGCCACCGCAGCTTCATGTTTACCTGTTTGTAGCATTCACCAGAAGGAAGCATAAGATCATCTTTTACCTGAATTTGTAGAATTTGAAGAAAGAACTTTTTTTTTGTTTGTTTTGTTTTTGTTTATTTGACAGAGAGAGGAGTCACAAGTAGGCAGAGAGACAGGGGGAAGCAGGCTCCCTGCCAAGCAGAGAGCCCGACGCGGGGCTCGATCCCAGGACCCTGGGACCATGACCTGAGCCAAAGGCAGAGGCTTAACCCACTGAGCCACCCAGGTGCCCCTGAAGAAAGAACTTTTGATTGATCACATCCCGTGCCCACCCCCGCTTTGGACCCAGAGGAGCTTTCCAAAATAGTCTCATAATCTTAGACCATCTAGTGGAGTGAGGGTCAGTGTCACAGGTAGGATAACTGTATTGACTACCCCCCCTCCCCACTTCATACAGTGTTTTTCTACAAGCAGGGATGTCTGTGCCTCCAACAAGGGGGACCATTGGTGGCAACCAGACAACAGATTAATTCTATAAATGGCTACCTACCTTATTAGACATTTGATTTTGTGCCATTTTTCACCAGTTATGAGACCCGCTCTATCTCAGAGGTTATTGTGAGAATCAAAATATACAGTATATATGTAAAAGTGCTTGGAAAACTAAAGTGCTGTGGCGAATGGAGGGCTCACTGTTATATTTGAAGACAGCATTTGGGTTCGCAGTAGTTTTTTTCCAGGCTGTAAATCCCACTTTATTTATAGTAATTCTCTGTCAGTTTCTAGACCTTTTACTACTATTCTCCAGATGTTCTCTGGTTTTTTGTTTTTTTTTTTTTTTTTAAAGACCTAATTTATTTGACAGAGCAAGTGCGTGCTCGAGCAGGGGGAATAGGAGAAGAAGGTTTCCTGCTGAGCAGAGAAGAGAGTCTGATGCAGGACCGGATCCCAGGACTCTGAGATCATGACCTGAGCCAAAGGCAGACAAAACCTACTGAGCTACCCAGGCACCCCTATCTGGTTCTTTAATATCCTTCATATCCAGTATGTCCAGAGGAGAACATATATTGCATATGTGGCCTGGCCAGTAAATAGTAAAGAAATGCTGTTATCTCTTAGATTTGGATTTTTGAAAATATTTGCTTTAATAAAGTTTGGAGTTTTATATATGTTTCTCTATTCTCTTCCTAGCCATACCCCCAAAATTAAGACATTTCTTTGACTAATTCTGAGCTATGATCAAATCGAAATTTTGGGCCCTTTATATGCAACTACTCCTAAGTTGATTTTCTTCCCCACTATGTCATTGTATCTTTATGTTGTTTTTAATTTTAGATGTAGGACAGTATTTGGCCTTATTTTTTGTTTTAAGTTTATGCTGTCCAGATTAGGCCATCAGTACCATAAGTTGAGTCGGTCATAAAACATTAGCACTCACTACTTTTTACTCTAAACTTTGTGTCATTTGTAGATTTGCTAAGACTTTTGTGAGATAATAAAAAAACCTGAATTTTTTTTTTTTTTAAAGATTTTATTTATTTGACAGAGATCACAGGTAGGCAGAGAGGCAGGCAGAGAGAGAGGGGATCAGGCTCCCTGCTGAGCAGAGAGCCGGATGCGGGGGCTCGATCCCAGGACCCTGGGACCATGACTTGAACCGAAAGCAGAGGCTTTAACCCACTGAGCCACCCAGGCGCCTCAAACAACCTGAATTTTTTGTCCCTTCCTTCACAACTTTGTCTTGTCCTCATCATTCTTACCTACTGTTGTTCAAGGCCAGAACTGTTAATTCTTTGGTTTCTACCTCTCCCATCTTCTCAAGCACATTTCTTGATCTTTTATCAGACTTCTCTATCAATCTTAAATTCAGTCTCTCCTCTTCCTAGTGACCAACTGCAGGGATGTACTTGCATAAAAGTGCAAAGACGTTGTGTGCAGTTGATACTGCAGTACTGTTAGTAGTAGTGAAGAAAGGAAAAGCACCTGAATATTTATCAGCAGAGGATTGGCTAAACTATGATAAATTAACAAGAATACTTAAACAGTTACTTAAATAATGAGGTAAACATATACAAACACAGGTGTCCCCGATGTATTAAATCTTCAGAAGTATATTATAAAACAATGTATAATATGATTTCAGTAATCTTTTAATTATGTAAAAAATGTTTATCTGTGGAGAAACACAAATGTGTATGTTTATGTGTGCCTTAAAAATGTCTGGAAGCTTAAATACCAAACTTAATGGTTGGGTGTTACTAGGGACAGAGAACAAGGGAAGGAGTTATACTTTCACTTTATAAAATTTAACAATTTGACTTTACTTTTACAGTAAGCCCTTAGACATCAGTCTAGACTCAGTGAAAAACAGACAGGAATATATAGGTAGTAATTACAAAGGGAAGAGTGGGTGAGGTGATCTAGGCAGATCGGGTATAAGAAAAAAAAAGGAAATAGGAAAAATTGGAAGAACTGTCAGTAGACTGAGATCAAAATAATAACAGTCTCTCTCCTCAGTATGGAGGACAGATATTTTTCCATCTTGTTAAGTAAGTACAACACCGTGAATTACCTTCTTTCACAAGTGTTGAAGTTCAAGGTAATACGGAGTGGAGGAGATTCTACCTGTAAAGTCAAAAGTCTTCATAGACCTATGGAAAGGTGAATAGAGTTTTTGAGCAGAAAATGAGAAAGTGGGCATTCCACTCAGAGACAGGACAATTTTAAAAGTTCATAGTATGTGGCAGTATTGTGTGTGGAGTAGCTTAAGTGAACAGTGCAGAAGGAGGAAATGGTAGAAATTGACTTTGAAAGGGAGTGGTAGGACAAAATGCCAATAACTATACCCATGCTATCAGGGTTAGACTTGATCTTGAATGCAGTAGGGAAGCTACTGACGGGTTTGAAGCAGAGAGGTCAAACAATGAGACTTTTAAAAGATTAACTTATAAAGATCACTTTGTCAACAAAGAATGGCTTGAGAAGGAAAAGACTGGTGTGAATGAGACCAGTTTAGGAATCAGACCTTGAAATAAGAGATTGATGTTAAAGAGTTGGCATTCAGAATGGAGATGTGGACCCCTATTTAAGAGATGCGTTTTCAGCACCTGCTACAGTGAATGTAGGAAGGGTACTCAATATGTGTTTGATCAGTTGGAAATGTGGACTGTGTCAGGGTCAGGAGTTCTGTGGTGTGCCATTAGAAACTGCCTCTGGGTCTGTGCTATTGAACAGAAGTTAGGGTTCAGCAAGCCCTTTCTGGTTAAACGCATTTGTCTGTCTGGTCTGTGAGGATGTCTTAGAGTTTGCTGAAATTAAGGTGCAGTGTGTTTGTACTATTCCTTGATCCATCAGTATTATAATCTTCTGAAGGAAGACAGGTCTAAAAGCATCTGCCAATTTCCATATAACAATTCTATTTTCTGTACTATTTAATTTCTTTGGAATTCTTTGGAGTATCGATACCAGACTTGGTGATTTATAATCTCTAGAAACTATCTCCAGATTTCTGGAAACACTTTTAAGCCACCCAACTAGAAGTTAAATAGATTGGAGGAAAAAAATTACTTTCTAAAACTCAGTGTTTCGTTCTCATATGCTCTTAGAATTTGAATGATTTTCTTTTTTCTTATACTTAGTTGGCGATCTTTCCTTCTTGGTCATCGATTATTAATACCTAAATCTTGATTTTCACAGCTCTTGTCTTCATTTCCTTTGGTTGTAAAACACCTAACCCTTGGGGTGGTTCCCCCCCCCCCCAAAGATTTTATTTATTTGAGAGAGAGAGAGAAAGAGAGAGGTGGGGGGGGCAAGCACAGAGGGAGAAAGAGAGAGAGAAGCAGACTTTGCTGAGCAGAGAGCCCAATGTGGGACCTGATCCCAGGACCCTGAGATCATGACCTGAGCAGAAGGCAGAGGCTTAGAGCCACCCAGGTACCCCCTGGAGTGGTTTTGATGAAAAAAGAAATAACCCTGTATTTTGTTAGTAAAATTATCATAAACTTTTATGGGCAGCAACTGGATTTTAAATTCTTTGATTTCCCTGTGATACACAGCATGGTAGTTGGTAACTCATTGTTAATTGTTTCAGCCGGATCAAGGCCCAGGGTAAAGAAGAACGATAATAACTTACTTTAATATGTTAAAGTTCTAAACTCATTCTCATTACGCTCAGGCTTGTAATAATTTCCTTTAGGCTTTGGAATGTTATACTTTGTACAGATTTTGTATGTGTGCATTTGGGAAGGTGTTACACAAGTGATTTTACGTTCCTGATTTTGCTTTTAAAATTTTGTGGATCTCTCTTTTCAGTGCTGGCATTGAATGCAGTAAATCAAAACCAGGAGAATGGTAAAATGAAAATTGGAAGTAGTATAGCTTCATTCTTACATAGGTAAAGAAGAAAGAAGATGAGTTTTGGATTTAATGGTTTTAGTCAGCTATAAAATCTTTATATACCTTTTCAAAATATGCTTTAAATTTTATATCTGTGTGTGTGTGTGTGTGTGTGTGAGAGAGAGAGAGAGAGAGAGAGAGAACGTGCAAGCACACGCATGCACTGGAAATGTTTTTGTCTCGTTCATAGGCTCTGAAGACAGGACTCCCAAAAAGAAATTCTCTGAGGTGCAGAAAGAAAGACGAGAACAGGCACAGCGAACTGTTTTAATACATTGCCCGAATAAAATCAGTGAAAAAAAGTTTCTGAAATACTTATCTCAACATGGACCTATTAGTAATCATTTCTTCTATGAGAGCTTTGTAAGTATTTGAAAACAATTTACCATTCATGCCTTTGAAAGAAAAAGGCTCTGTTTGTTATTTGCAATATGGTAAAGTTAGATTCTCTTTTGATATCCTTAAATTTCTTAAATGATTTATTTGGTATGAGAATAGACATCCTTATGGCATTATAACAGAATGCTGACTGATTCCATCATTTGAATACTTTAAGTAGTCTGTTATCTTAGGGATAAAGGCCGGGGGTGAGGGATTTTTGTTTTGCCTTTTGATTTTTTTTTTAATTTGATTTTATTTTTTCAGTGTTCCAAGATTCATTGTTTAATGCACCATACCTAGTGCTCCATGCAGTACGTGCCCTCCTTAATACTCACCACCAGGCTCACCCAACCCTCCACCCCCCTCCCTTCTAAAACCCTCAGTTTGTTTTTCAGAGTCCATAGTCTCTCATGGTTCATCTCCCCCTCTGATTTCCCCCAACTCACTTTTCCTTTTCTTCTCCTGATGTCCTCTATGTTATTCCTTGTTCTCCACAAGTAAGTGAAACCATATGATAATTGACTTTCTCTGCTTGACTTATTTCACTCAGCATAATCTCCTCCAGACCTGTCCATGTTGATACAAAAGTTGGGTATTCATCCTTTCTGATGGAGGCATAATACTCCATTGTATATATGGACCATATCTTCTTTATCCATTCGTCTGTTGAAGGGCATCTTGGCTTTTTCCACAGTTTGGCGATTGTGACCATTGCTACTGTGACCATTGGGGTACAGATGGCCCTTCTTTTCACTGCATCTGAATCTCTGGGGTAAATACCCAGTAATGTAATTTCAGGGTCATACGGTAGCTCTGTTTTTAATTTCATAAGGAATCTCCACACTGTTTTCCAAAGTGGCTTGAGCAGTCTACACTTTCAATGCCATCCTAATAAAAATTCCACCAGCATTTTTCAAGAGCTAGAACAAATAATCCTAAAATTTGTATGGAATCAGAAAAGACCCCGAGTTGCCCAAGAAATGTTGAAAAAGAAAAACAAAGCTGGGGGCATCACGTTGCCTGATTTCAAGCTTTACTACAAAGCTGTGATCACCAAGACAGCATGGTACTGGCACAAAAACAGACACATAGACCAGTGGAACAGAGTGGAGAGCCCAGATACGGACCCACAATTCGATATGGTCAAATAATCTTCAACAAAGCAGGAAAAAGTATCCAGTGGTAAAAAGTCTCTTCAATAAATGATGCTGGGAAAATTGGACAGCTACATATAGGAGAATGAAACTCACCATTCTCTTATACCATACACAAAGATAAACTCGAAATGGATGAAAGACTTCAACGTGGGGCAAGAATCTATCAGAATCCTAGAGAACATAGGCAGTAACCTCTTCCACATTGGCCACAGCAACTTCTTTCAAGACTTGCCTTTTGATTTTCTGTTTCGTCATTGTTTTCAGCTTCTGTCGGCTAATATTCCTTCATGGTGTTCCTTTTCTTAGTTTGCTTAAAATGATTAGAACCAGCAGTTGTGTTAGAAGTGTATCATTTGTAATGAATCTTTTTTAGTATTACGATAATCATTCGGATATTTGAACTGAAATACTATGTCAAATATATCCTTCTCAGATGTCTTCTGTTTTTCCTTATGATTTTGGCATAGGGTCTTTATGCTGTTGTGGAGTTTTGTCAAAAGGAAAGTGTCACTTCACTACAGAATGTAACTCGCACTCCAAGTATGGACACAGAGGCTGCAGTTCCATTCAAGTCACGTTTCTTCAATGTAAAGATGAAGAATCCATCAAACCAGACTTCAGAACAGTCCTGCATACAGTACAGTAATCATACCCCTCCTTCAAGCAAGAAGCTTTCTGAATTACTTTGTTATGCAGAAAGTGTAAGTTTTTAAGTATACTTCCCAGGTTTCCCCCAATTTCTGAAAATATGTGTGTGTGTATGACATTAGTTTATATATTATAGGTTCTTATCATAAGACAGTCAGACTAGGGAATATGTTTAGTGAAAAGTAAAAGTAATCCTTCCCCACTCCCTGATATGTGCTCCTCCCAAGTAACCACATTCTTCCAGAGTTTTCAGCCTTTGGTCTGTACAGGTTTTCTTTTTCCAGTCAGCATAATGACATACAGTTGTACCTGGCATTTTTCTAGAAATTTAAAAATATCTCAGAAAAGATATCATTTCTGATTTAATCTGTTGTGCTGCCCTAACATTGTTTATATTAGTTTTAGTTTTTCTTACAAAGCCTTGTCAGAAGTTTAGCTAGTTTAGTACTTTCAAAGAATTAGTTCATGATTTTTATTGAAATGCTATTTTTGATTTGATTTTCTAATTATAAAAATTTTATTCCTAACCTTATACATTTCCCTTATTTTCTTTTACTTACTTGAGTTGAATGCTTCTTAGTTCAATTAATTTCAGTACTCTTTCCAAATATGGGCATTTGAGGCTATGATTTTTATTTTAAATACTTCAGTGCAGTTTCAAAATGTGATGCCTTTAACACCAGTTTTCTGGTGAAGATACAGGATTATTATTCTGAGGAGTTGAGGAATCATGGGCCTTCGTTACCTGAAGCATTGCTTATTTCTAGTGTTTCTTGCCTTTAACATTGGTTCTTCCTTCCCCCAACTTCATTTAAAATGTCTAGCTTTGTGGTTGTTTTGATCTCTTTCTGGAGCTTTTTACTCTTTTCATTTTCTTAAAACAATACTTAATTGTAAAGTAATAGTGAGTTTAGCTCTAGCCAACTTTGATTTTGCCAATGTTATCATTCCCTCAGTTCTTTTTAAAGGAATATTTTTAAAAAAATCTTTAAAAAAAAATTTAATCAACTTCTACAATTGAAGGAAAAAAAGAATATGTTTTTATGGTAGGTCTCTAAAGCCATCAGATCTCTGGAAGTAAAATGACAGTTATTTTCTATGACCTGTACATTTTCTGTATTTTGTTGGTTTTGTTCTGGCCAGCTAGATAGATGATCAGCTGAACACTCTCCTGAAGGAGTTCCAGCTGACGGAGGAGGACATTAAGCTCAGATACCTCACCTGTTCTCTTATTGAAGACCTAGCAGCTGCGTATTTTCAGGACTGTACAGTGAGACCCTTTGGCTCCTCTGTGAACAGTTTTGGGAAATTAGGATGTGATTTGGACATGTTTTTGGATCTAGGTGAAATTGGAAAATTCAACACCAACAAGGTAATTATATTTCATTAGATCACTAAAGATATTTTAAAAGTAATCTTTGGACTTTGTAAAATTATAACTGTTGGTTTCTAAACTTTAGTAAACATTGTGGCTAAAGAATATCTATTTGATATTGATTCTTCGGAATTATAAAGTCTTTCTTTGTATTGATAAAATATATGATCATTTTTTTGTAAATATTCTACACATACACAATAAAATGAATTATTTTTTTCCAAGGATTCTGGAGTTTTTCCGTTAGGCCTAGGTTATTTATTGTGTTATTCAGATTGTCCGTATCTTAACTATTTTTTTTTAATCTGTTTATCTAGTCATTGAAATATTCTGAAATCTCATGATTTTTTGGTTTTGTTAAGTTTCCTTAGGAATTCTTTTGATGTTTGTTTTATTTAAAGGCTATGTTAGCTTCATGTGGGTATATAGGTATATGATTATTATATCTTCTTACTGTTCATTTATCATTAAATTATGTCCTTTATTTTTATGTATGCTTTTTCCTTACATTCTTTTTTGTCTGTTAAGATAACCACTTGTTATTTGCTTCGTGTGTCTTCTTCTATATCTTCATTTTGACCTTAAATATGCTGTTATATTTTGGGTGTCTTGCAAAAACATTCTTTGTTTTCTAGTACTTTACTGATAAAACTTTTTGTGTGTAAATCTGATTTATGTTGAATTTACTTTGGTTAAGGGCTGAAGTCAGGATCCAGTTTATTTTTTTCAAGGGCTACTTGACTCATTTGTTAAATAGTAATTTTAACCCAGTGATTTATGGAATCATTTGTATTAAATTCCTATATAGTTAAAGTCAGATTACAGTTTGTTTTCTTCGATTGATTTGCTGTTTGATTTGATTTGTACATGTACTTCCTATTCTAACTACTGTGGGCTTAAAACATCTTTTATGATGTAATGGCTAACTGGGAAAAGGCAGATAGATGGTCACTGAATTTATAGAGTCAGTGGTTCTACATGTAATGTTACTTTGTGTTATATGATACATAGTGGCATATCAGTTAATTGTACAAAGCCAGTGATTTTTTAATTTAGTACTTTATACTCTGAAGAAACAAAAGACAACTGAAGATTTTTTAAGTCTGCTGTTGGCTTTGATTTCATGAAGAACTTTTTGAGTGTGTGTTTCTTGTTTTCTGGTTTCTGTTGTGCCAAAAATGATTTAGAGCATCCTTCTAGAAAGTTTAAGAAATTCCTTCTTATAAAAAGCTCCCATTTACAAATGTTTTTATTATTCAGACCTCCGGAAATTTTCTGATGGAATTTCAAGTGAAAAATGTTCCTTCAGAAAGGATTGCAACTCAGAAGATCCTGTCTGTGATAGGAGAATGCCTTGACCACTTTGGCCCTGGTTGTGTGGGTGTACAGAAAATCTTAAATGCTCGGTGTCCTCTTGTGAGGTTCTCACACCAGGCCTCTGGATTTCAGTGTGATTTGACTACTAATAATAGGTATGATCTCTTGAATTTATCATCTTAAATGTGAATATTATGAGGTTTTAACATAGTTTTTCTTGTACAGAAACAGTGGCTTTGGATTCATATATGTTTTAATAATAATAACTTTTTAAAGTTTTGGACACTTAGATTTAAAAATTGGAAATGTTTTCTCATACATATCTATTGGCTTTTTGGTTTTCATGAATAAAACCTTAGGATATTGTGTTTAAAGTGTTACCATACCTAACTAACATCATCTTCTGAGAACTGTGTTTCATTGTTCTTAACTTACGTAGCCTGATAACAACATGAAAGCACTAGAGCAGATGTTCTGTATGTAGTCTTCCAAGTATATTTAGAAAATATAGTAGCACCTTTAGAAAATAAAGTAGCACCTTGAGTTTGACCTTTGAATTGGCTCCAGATATAGTTTGGGTCCTAAACCCGTATGGTGTTTGCTTAGGTTAGAAAGCAGTCTACGCAGCTTCAGACCACATAGTTTCTTCCTTTAGCATATTTTCATTTCATTATCCTAGCAACCTGCTTCCTTAAAAAAATGGGGTGCAAATGACACGTTTTTTTCATACTCTGATTCCTTTTCTTTCATTCTTAGTCGGGCAAACTTCTTAATTGAATTTATTTCATAACTCTAGTATTCTCATTGCATGCATTAGATTTCACTATATTATCTGTTAGATAAATACTCTGTACGAAAAACAGATTTAGGAAATCCATTCCAGAGCTGTTTCGCTTCATCTCATGTTCACTAACAAGTCAGTGCTGAGTGCTTTGGAGTTTCTCTCAAGTAGTTCAGAGAGTAAAAATAAATAAAAATACATAATGCACTTCCTATCATTATTACATTTTTTTTAATAACATGTAAACTAGAACAAAATGACATCTTTGTTTGTAGTAGTGTTATGTTTATTGTCTTGTCAGGATAGATTTTTAAAATTTGTTTTACTATCCTTCAGGTTTTTATACTCCTGCATTGCTTCTTTATATAAAATACCTTGCACTATTTGATACTTATTTTCAGCTTAATTTAGATTTATTTATATGACACATTTAATCATGTGGAATTTCTAATTTGCTGTTTCTTCTTTTTTCTTTAAACTTAGGAAGTAAATCCATGATGAAACTTTATAGGTTGAAGTTGTTACTGTTAATGGTCTTGCGCCCTCTGTTGGTTCTTTGGGAAATTACATGTTTGATCAGTAGGAGCTTAATTTTGAAATATTTTTGATTAATAATTTTTTGCATTGTAACATTATGACTAGGAAACTTACTGAAAATAGGGTCTGACGAGCGGGTTCCATGGAGTAATGGTTAGCACGCTGGACTCTGAAAATAGGTTCTGAAATTTGATTTTTTTAAATTTTTTATTTATTTTTATAGATTTTTTAATATTTTTTATTTTTTTATATTTTTATATTTTATAAAATAGATTTTATTTATTGAAATTTGATTTCTTTAAAAGACATTTATCTTCATGGGTTTTGGTTTTTATAAATGTTAGACTTACATAATTTTGGCTGAATTTTAAGACATGTATACTCTCTTGATAAAATAAGTAGAATATTTTCCTTGCTTGCGAAAGGACTAGATAACTAAGGTGTGAAAGTGAGGTGTAGAGCCTCTCATTTACAAATATGTCAGTGTCTTTATTGATAGTTACTAAAGAACACAGATGTAGTGTGTTTCCTTTATTATTTAAGTCATGTTTAGGAACTTTGATTAAAAGTTCTGAGTTTTACAACTGCAGTAGGACTGTCAGCATTTAAAAGAGTGTTTTAATGTTAATGAATGTATTTGATATTCAGCCATTCACATTAAATTTTATATTGCATATACATAATGCTTTTGATTATCTGATCATGGTGTTCTGAGTATGCGTAGATAACAGTAAGATATTTACGTATGTTTCCAGATATGTGTTTTTACTCTACTCTGGAGCCATAATTTGGGGTTTGAAAATTCTTTTTTTTTTTTTTTTTTTTTTTTTCTTTTTAAAGTTTGTTTTTTAAATTTTTTTTTTTTTTTTTTTTTTTTTTTTTCCGTTTAAAGGATTGCCTTGAAAAGTTCTGAACTCCTTTATATTTATGGTGCTCTCGACTCAAGAGTGAGAGCCTTGGTGTTCTGTATTCGGTGTTGGGCTCGAGCACATTCATTAACGAGTAGTATTCCTGGTTCTTGGATTACAAATTTCTCTCTTACAATGATGGTCATCTTTTTTCTCCAGAGGAGATCACCCCCTATTCTTCCAACACTTGACTACCTAAAAACTCTAGCAGGTAAGACTGGAAGCAGTCTCTTTTCTCTTTCTGACATTTTAAATGAATATAATTACCATGTGTTGTCAGACACGTGTGTTTGTTTATTAGTCATAAGATTTGTCTCCTGTGTTTTTAAAACTTTGTGAATCTAAAATTAAAGTGCTTTGTATTTTTTAATGCCCACAAGGGGTCATGAGAGCAGATGATTTGCGAAGCTGAGGCCCTTAGAGTTCTGTCCTGTTTGTGTCAGTTGGCAAGGTTGTTTACAGCTATCATGAAACAGTTGGAGCTTCTCTCTTGACCAAGCCTGGAATGATCTTGGGGAGAAAAAAACATCCCAGATACAACTTTTGAGTGGATCAGAGTTTCGGTGATGGCTTTCCAAATCTGAATTTATTTCCAGATTTTTCTTGAAGTTGCTAAAAAGTTTCATAATGTTTTAAAGATCCTAAATGTGTTTTTTAGTTAAAAGCTTACAAGCAGTCTTGGGTGAATTATTGTAAAATAAGTATATTCTTTATGTCACAAATGAATTGACATTTTGGTAGACTGCGGAGATACTAAAGGATGAACAGTTCTAAATTCTAAAAGGAAGGTAAGTAAGGAATATGCTCGCAGAGCACAGCCACTGTGTCTTCCCCCATCCTGTGTGCTGCGGCCACAGGAAAGTACATCTCTGAAGCTTCCTGGTTTAAAATAACCTTAAGGGGATTTTATTCCCTATGGAATAAATCTCCATTTACATAGCTTGGTATTGAAGATCTTCACTTATCTAGCCACACCGACCCCCCAGCCTCTTCTCCTGTCCCTCCTCCTGCGTGCTCACGTTGCGCTCAGTACCGTGGTGCCTCTCCTCACGCTCCATCTTAGCTCTTTGGTTCAGACTCTTTGTTTTTCTGCCTGGACCATGACTTCTCTCAATTCTCTCTTCTGTGCCACCTTCTCTCATTATCCAAATTAGAAGTAATTCTTCCTGTGAACCCTGTTAAGCACTGGTGTAGCTTGAAACCGAGCTTTAAAAATGCTCAGTGTGATAGGGTAAGGCAGAGTAGGAAGTTTTCAGAAGGTAGGGTAGTGGTCATGAATCTCTCTCTTGAGGTTGAATTAAAGAGGCAACATCCGTGGCTGTGCTCTTTCATTGTTTGGGGTCATTCATTCACTCAGTATTTCCTGGTTGCTTATTGTACATTGGCTTGCATTTTTGGTACAGTGAGGATATGGATGATATTCTTAGGTAACACACAACCTGGTAGAGGCATAAGGCAGACACACAGACAGACAGACATAAAATGTGGGTATTTCTTCACAATAAACAACCTGTAAATAGCACTTCCTCTTCAACCTTTGTGTGTGTGCTCATGCCTAAAACTGCCCTCACAGGGGTGCCCCAATGGCTCAGTTGTTAAGCCTCTGGCTTTGGCTCAGGTCGTGATCCCAGGGTGCTGGGATCGAGCCCCACATCCAGCGCTCTGGCCAGCAGGGAGCCTCCTTCTCCCTCTCCCACTCCTTCTGCTTGTGTTGCCTCTCTTGCTGTGTCTCTCTCTCTCTGTCAAATAAATAAATAAAATCTTTAAAAAAAAAAAACTGCCCTCACAGAGACCATTTTGGGGAAAAATCATGGAACTCTTGGAGTTTAGAAGCTAAGGAAAGCAGAAGCTATGAAAAGGAGGAAGAACAGAGGCAAGTTGACGTAGGGGGCAAACTGTTCCTAACAGCCTGTTGCTGTTTTCCAGCCGCATGGGAACTGCCACTCCTGCCAGAGTTGGGCCCTTGACAGACCCTTCCTGGGAGCAGTTCTACTACCTTCTCTCCTTACCTCCATTTGTTTCCCACCAGTCTATTTGTAACTAGCAGAATGATTATCAAAAATTCATCTCTTACTATATTATTCTCACTTGAAATCCTTAGGTAACTTCCTAAAATCTTTTTGAAAAAATTTCTGCTAATTATTTTAGAAAAAGAATGTGATTGATGGACAAACTTAAAATGACATGTTGAGGTTTTATTCCAGATCTATTTTTTAAAACAATTTACCTTTATTCACATCTAATGGCATCAGAACAGACACAACTAGTTTTGGAATTCTTTAATTTTCTATTTTAAAATACCAAATTGGGGGGCGCCTGGGTGGCTCAGTGGGTTAAAGCCTCTGCTTTCGGCTCAGGTCATGATCCCAGGGTCCTGGGATCGAGCCCCACATCGGGCTCTCTGCTGAGCAGGGAGCCTGCTTCCTCCTCTCTCTCTGCCTCCCTCTGCCTACTTGTAATCTCTGTCTGTCAAATAGATAAATAAAATCTTTAAAAAAAAATTAAATACCAAATTGGTTGCTTACAATTTTTTGTGTTAGCTTTTTTTTTTTTTAAGATTTTATTTATTTATTTGACAGAGAGAAAAAGCACAATCAGGGCGGCGGCAGGCAGCGGGAGAAGCAGACTCCCTGCTGAGCAGGGGACCCAGTGTGGGTCTCGATCCTAGGACCTGGGATCACGACCTGAGCTGATGGCAGCCGCTTACCCCACTGAGCCCCCCAGGCGCCCCTTGTGATAGCTTTTAAACACTAAGAGAAATTTTCAGGATGCTTTTTGCAGCTTCATCTCCACACAGAGCACATTGTGGGCGTGAATTGCCAATAAACGAATACATGAATTTGATTAGCATTATTGTTACTTTTTTATCTTTGATTTTTTTTGAAGTTCTGATAATACCTTGAATTTTTTATAAAAGGATTTTTCATGAATGTATATTAAGGATGCGAAGATTATTTTAAGGAGACTTTATAAAAATATTTTTTTTTATTCATTTAGGTTCCATGTGTTTTATACTTTCTGATTTTAACCAGTGGTCCCACATTGGTATATATGCTACAGGACCTAAGAATAAAAACAATGGTAAATTTTGAAACTGTCAAAACCATCTCGGGTGCTCTGTGGTTGATTGGCTGAGTGAGTTAAGTCTTGTGTATAATCTACATTGTGCCTCTGCCTCGATTTTCAGATAGTGGTTCTCAATTTGTCTTTTTTAAAAAAAGAAAAATATTTGCTTGCTCGCTTGTTTATTAATAGAAGGCGGCATGAATTTCTGGAACACCTTCTATCACTTCTAGGGCCTTATAAACCTGGTTGGAACTTAGAATAATCTAGAGGTCGTAGAGTTATATTTAGGGTCCCTTTGATCTTCCCTTTCTTCGTCTTCTCTTACATTCGCTTCTGTGTGCAAATCTGGAGGCTCATGGCTCTACCAGCTCCTTGCTAGTCCTCATGTTCTGCTCTTGTGTCCCTGTCTTTGCCTGATACTGCCTTCTTCTCACTGCCTCCTCTTCTCCCATGGAGAGAAGCTCTTCAGTGTTCTGCCAGGGAAGGGAGAAGATGAACCCAGATCAAGATCTCATTTGTTAGGTCACTCCTGGCTGGCTCCCCGCTGCCGGCCTTCCCGGAGGTAGCGCTCTGTTGGCTTCCAGCACCTGGTACACATGTATATTGTAACAGCTGTCGTGTTGCCAACTTATTTACCTGCCTGTGTTGGCCCAGCCTTTTTAGGGCCGGCAGTCTTTGATTCATTTCTGCATCTTCCGTTCCTGGCATAGTATTGGGTTCGTAGGAGAAGTTCAGTAAACAGATTTCAGAGGATAGGCTGAGCGTTTTACAGTTGAGAGCTTTTTGTACTGAGCATGATGGAAACTTTCGTATTTTGGTTACTCTTGAATTTCTGTTTCTTTGTGTTTTCTTATAATCTCTGCTCCTTTCCCCATTATGTCTGTTATTGTGTGTTCTCTCCTATTTTGGCTTTGCTGCCTTTGTTAAATTTACTTCTTCACTTAGTGCTTTCTGTGGCATTTTCCTTTCATAAACAGTTGTTAGGTTTTACCTTTTTGTTTGGGATCCCTGTGCTTCCTTCCTGCAATGAATTAAAGGTTTGAGGAAGAAATGACTGGGTATATTATCTTTGGCAGTTTTGATGCAGAAACCCCAGGATGGAAGAGAGTTTTAATTGTTAGTTCTGTGTGATGCAGTAACAACTTACTGGGTGCTGACTCTGTGCTGGGCACTTGGCTAAAAGTCATATACACCATCTCATGCAGTCCTCCCAGCAAATCTCATAAGGCACATTTACTATTTTCATAGGTGAGAAAACTTTGAGAGGTTTTCCAAATTTCTTAAGCTAACTGAAATATATTACATCTAGAAGTACTTGCGTGTATGTGTATCAGTTTTCACAAACTGAACACACCCATGGAAGGTCCTCCCTGAGTGAAAATACCACAGAAGCACTAGCTGTCTTCCCTTCGGGCCCCTCCACGCCCCCCCCCCCCCCCCCCTTCCACAGCATGGGTTCATTTTACCTGTTTATGTCTCATAGAGAGTGTATTGTTTGGCATCTGGTTTCTTTTCTCTCAATATTACGTTTAGGAGATTCATTCCTACTCTTCGTGTATTTGTGGACCACTCGTTGTCATTGTGGCACAGTATTCTATGGGAACAAACCAAAAAATATTTTTAGTTCTACTTTTGATGGGCATAAAAATAATTTGTAGTTTGGGACCATTACAGGTAATTACTAATACCATTCTAGCACATCTCGTCTGGTGAGCACAGGCACTCCTCTATCTGTCAAGTATAAACTAGGAGTAGAATTTCTGAGTCTTGGGATTTGGGTATATTCAGCTTCAGTAGATACTGCCAAACAGTTTTCCGAAGTGTAAACTCCCACAGGCATTGTGGACGAGTTCTAATTGCTCTGTATCTTTGCCAACATGTGCTGTTATCTTTTTCTTATGGTAGCTGTTCTGAATGTATGTGTGGGGGCATCATGGCGTGTTTTGGTTTCTTTTCCCTAATGACTAATGAAGTTGAGCACCTTTTCATCCCTACATCAGTCACTTGAGTAATCCTTGTGATGTTTCTTTAAGTCTTTTGCCAATTTTGCTCTTGGCCTGTCTTCTTCAAAGATTCAGTTGTAGGAATTCTTTATATATTCCTCATGAGTTCTTGGTCATACATTGTGGATTCATGTGTATGTCT